ACTAGAACAGTGATTTTCGTTCGTATTTACCTTATAGATACTTGTGCGGTTTTTCTCTTCGTCACAAAATGCTATCTATCCTTTCGTTTTTTTTTTCGTGTATAACCGCAAAAGATTCTTGTCAAGTGTGTGTGTGTGTGTGTGTGTGTGTGTGTATGTCTATTTCTCTTATGACTGTTCTGTGCGCGCTCTTTTTCTCCCTCTGGAGATTATTCTTTTTTCTCTTGTCTCGGCAATTCAAATAAATATTATACATTTAATATATTGACTGTGTCTTCGTTTTTATTAAGAGCAACTACACGAAGACAATGATAGGATATTCTATCTAGAAATTTGTGGTGAACATATCGAGTTTAACGTCTTGAATCAATCTAACGTTTGATCATCAAATGATAGAATTTTTCAATAAAATGAATTAAAATTTCTTATTTCGTTTTAACTATAGATATTCGCTACTAATTGTATATTAAATAACGACTATGGATACCGCTGGTGCTACATCATCGTCGGCTGCACCACCCAATATCTATGGTGGATTAGAAGGACCTGAATCAATGTATTTAAAATTAATTTCATCTGACGGTCATGAATTCGTTGTACGTCGTGACTTTGCAATAACTGCATCGCCAACAATTAAAAATATGCTTAGTGGACCGGGTCAATATTCTGAATCCCAACCAAATGAAATTTACCTTAAAGACATACCATCGCATGTACTGATAAATGTTTGCCGCTATTTTGCTTATAAAGCAAAATATACAAAGTAAAATATTATTATATTTTAAATTTCCATCGAAAGTTCTTTTTCATCATTTTAGTTCATCTATTGATATTCCTGAATTCCCCATTGACATTCAAGTGGTAATCGAATTACTTGTTGCATCGGATTTTCTTGATTGTTGAAATACTGCTGTTTTTTATTTTAAATTTTATTTGTGTTTTTATTAGTAGAACATTGAGATATTAAGTGTGAAATACTTCTATTTGTCAGTAAGATAGGAAACAAATTTCGAACAACATTATTATATTCCATTTTTGTTTTATGTTTTAATATTAACAGAGAATTAGGCAATAAACTTCGATAAATTCAATTATGAAAGCAACATATAAAAAGTTTTGATGAACAAAGAATAAGCTAAGATCTAATGAAACATTTGTCAGTATGGAAATGTATACTTGTACCAATGTAGTACAATATCAATCTCCAAGAATTATATAATTAAACATATCATTAAAGAAATAGTACTTTAATAACAATATAAACAGGATACAAGTCAGTTCTTGTTCTACTGAGTTTGCATGCCTTCTAAGAAGAAGTACGTTACGATTATAGAGAGTTTTGAAGTCTTTTTAGAAATAATATCAGGTTGTCTCTCTAAACATGGTTAACGAGGCTTAGTTATCCTATTTCGAAGTCATTTGTTTTCAATATTGCACAACACCAATGAACAATGCTTATATCAAATACAACGTTTTTTTTACCAATGTCAAACAATTACATTTTGTTTTGTCAAGGTTTGAGTTTGAGAATGTGGTCATTTCTTTATAACTATGAATAGATGAATGTAGGTAAACGAGGTCGATCAAAATGGACTTCGTTCATGCTGCGTTTTTCTTGGCCCACTATTAGACCCATCTAAACCTTGTTTATACTCAGCATCATTGTTGTATACAGTTCATACTTTTACAGTCGGAAAGCATGCGAATATGGTTGGCTTCACTCAAGTAGATGAAAGGTTAACTGTAAGCTAAAGATGCTCGAAGCGTGGAATATTATCATACAACCAATATGAACTGCCTACCGAGATTTATTTTGAAGCATTCTGTTTCTTCAACAGCATCATCTTATCTTGTAAAAAAAAACTTTTAGTGGAATCTATATTTTATTTTGCTGTTATTTCTTTCTGCTGATGATTACCATTTTTACCAGAAGTTTTTGAAAAACTCTTCAATTTTAATACAACTAGTAAATGTTCTGTGATCATATGAAACTCAATCCTTTGTGCAGCTGCCATTTAGTTTCATATTGCATCTGATTCGTTTAAATCATAGCTACTCATTCTGCCCTTATCATCTCGTGTTCTCTTTTACTTTTTGAAAATACTGCTGGTTTAGAAAAGACTACCTCATTTGGGATGAGACTGTTCAATGAGTTGCAGATATCGGATAGAAATAAAATAGACGTTAGCGAACTCCACATTCTCACTGAAAGTATTGACTTATAACTAATAATATTTCACGAACACAAGTTGATGCGTAACATATTCGAGACTTGTAACTACTACTTGTTTTTACTCATAAAATAAATAATCATGTGCGTTTAGTTTCATGAAAATATTATTAACTTTGAATTGTTTTTTATGTTAGATGTATTATGGCTTTCGGGAAAACTTTGCTCCAAAAGTTTAAAAAACAATAACATACAGGAAATGCTTTGATGGATTGACGAAAAAAACATCTTCCGAGAAAACACGAATAAATATATTTATAGATGGTCTATTGCAAGTCATTTGTATAATAACTTGGACAGTTTCATTAGAAGGTTAACACGTATGAAATCAGAGTAGATCAGAAATAATTTTTATGAAAATATTACAAAGAAAGATAACAGTATGCATGGCTATCAAATCAACTCCGAAAATTTTACATCTGACGGCCTTTGTCAACTAGATTTATTTTCAATATATTTAATTCTAGAAATATGAAGAAATCTATTTTCTTCACTGTTCATTTATGTTTGGATGAGTCGAAATCGAGACTCGAACATTGAACTAGGTTGATGATACCTAGACGGTACTTCTTATCCATACTCATTATTAATTTTCACTCATATTCGGTACATAAATAAAAAGTATTCAACTCAAAAGAACAGGAACATCCAGCAGATGCGTAATAAAGACTGTTGCTTGATGAATCACATGATAGAAGTGATTAATACAGAGATAAAACCTTTCTGTTAGTTTCTATCGATCAGATCCATCAGCAAACGCTTGATTGACATACTCATTTTGGCTATGTTAAACATCTTCAACGAAAACGGCTCGAAAAAATACAGTAACATGAATGTTTTGACAGTTTTGTCGATCGTATTTTGCATACCTTTATAATAGCCAATATAGAAACTACGGTTACTCTTTCATCAATTACATTATCTTTGCTAGTGAATGAATTGAGTCTATTGATAGTGTCGATCTTAATGTGCGTTGCTTCTCAATCGTATACTTTTCATTGAAATCTTTTAATAAAAATGAAGTCATTCGGAAATAGCTATTCATAGTTTTTATTTTTGAACTATCTAATTTCCGATAGAAGTTTATTTTTATTATAATACACCAATAGCAAATTCAATGTTAAATGAGCTTCATAAACGTTGCGTCCATTCGATACATCAGTAGTAATATCATTTATTCAACCAAAAAAATCAATACTGGTCATTCTATACAGATATAAATCACATTAAAGATACACCGTAAAATTTTATCCACAAGGTTTCTACAGTCTACTCGATTTTTCGTCAATTTTTGAAAAACCTGGTTGCTTAAATTTCTTTACACTTTGTTCATCATATGTAGAAGTGTATTCTGATAAAAGATTTTCAAAATAAATAGTTTGTAAAGGCAGTTTCTACATGTGATTGCATTGATGATTGTAGTATCTACTCATGACTATATCAAAGACTAAGACTTAAAAAGTTCGAGAAATTTATTTGATTTTTAGCTACTGAAGAAATTAAATATATAAAGATGAGATTGTAGCACATAGCTACTATAGAATTGTTTACATTTTTTAAGTGTGATTAGAATTGATTAACGACAAAATTCTATTTGTTTTTTTGTTTTTTGTTGATTGTTATTTTCATTATTCTAGCATAGTATTTTAGTAGAGGAACACAGGTTTCCAATAATTCGAAAGATTATTTATAAATATACAATAGAAACTGCTTGATCAGATAATCTTATTCCAATGTTTTTTACCAAATGAACTATACTATGTAGAAGTGAAAGATGATGCTTTTCAAGTCCTAATTATTTCTTTTTTACTTGCATTGAATAATCACCCATTCGTGATAATATCAATTGTTTCTCTATTGTAATGCAAGATTCTGCTAAATCATCTTCCTGATAAATATTAATTATGCCGATACAGCCAAACTTTGTCTGATCATGTTTGTCTCAAATTATTAAACAAATTGGTAAGTTATTCAATAAATAGCCATAAATAACCCCAAGCGTTTTTATCATTAAATAGAGTTGTCATATTTGATTCCTTTCTCCATCTATCGATTTCCTTCAGGAACGAATTATTAGCATGTATTTGTTTTTTTCTGAGCTGGATCTCATCATAATAGATCATGATACTATCAAATATAATCCAACTATCCATCAAGTTTCGATTAATATTTTACTACATGTTTAACAAAGTGTCAATCACGATTATATTACTGGAAAAATGTCGAAAAACGTTTCAACTACTTTTGTAGATAATCCTTATGGGACCTAATAAGTAAAATTAGATTTTTGTTTTCTCCCAGATAACTATGTATTTATTTAAACAAATTGAATTCTATTCGTGCAGCAAAAAGCTCCATATTAAGTATGCAGATAGAAGCAGAAGAATTTCGGAAAACATGAAATATCTCATAAAGTAGCATGAACACGTACCATAAACATTCATACATATTCCAAAATACGCTTCCTATACAATTATGATGATATGCGCTTTCTTAAAATACAAGTACGAACTAATTATATGAAAGAAAAATATTAGTTCGAACAATTGATTTATAGAGATAGTATTCTTAAAACAATTGACTGATTCCTTTTATGCAGGTACTTGACCGATTTCGCTACATAGTTCGATCATCAACACTAGAAGAAAAGAAAAGAAATTCTCAAATGTTCTATTTCTTTTCTAATCAATATTTCTAATAAAAAGAAAACATGCGAAACGAGAAGAAAAAAAATACAAGAACAAAATAAATTTATCACTATTAAATCTTATTAATTTCTTACAAAACAAAAAACGATACGTTCAACCTTGGTACGAAATACTTGTTGAAATTGTGAAGTAAATCTTACATAAATAAAAAAATTTGCCAAGTAAGTTGTTAATTCGAGTAAATTAACAACAAGTGCATAATATTTATATGATGATTTGCTTACATCTTTAAAAACAAAGTTTGGATAAGCGAATAACATCGGGATTTGCCCACATAAGTAAAGTGTTGATAACCAAACAAGCATTATGGTTAATTGTCGTTCTTGTTGTTGTTTTCTTGAATGGATTTTACTAAATAATTTGATTGGAAAAGACAATGTTTTCTGTTTAACATTCGTTGGCAACGTTGATTCACATGATAATGATCTTGATAAAAGATTATCTGTTTGAGATTGTGATTCAGATAGATATTTATTAATTGGTGTTGTATCACAACCATTTGATACTGATGGACGAAAAACTGTTGTTGTTGTTGTCGTCGTTGTGGCTGCCGGTATTTTTGATATTGATTGTAAAGGTCTTTTGTGTGATTTAAATTTTTTGTTAGCCGCATGTACAGTTGATAGTAAAAGACAATTCGAAAATACAAGAATACATATGGGAATAAAACGTAGAAGAATTTCTTTACACATGCCAAAATATTCATATGCTGTCGTTTTCGCTATGGACGTTAATGAAAGGTTATTACATTCACCTACTTTATAAACAAGAAAATTAATTGAATTCGCAAGAATTGGAAATAAAAAACAAATAAATAACGTTATTAATATACGATTAGAACTAAATAAACGTTGTTTGTCCATTGGCCAACGTACACTAACAAGTCTTTCAATAGTTACTGTTATTGTTAATAAAACATTACATGCCGCAGTTATATTTGCTAACGGAAAATAAACATTAACTAAATACCATATACGAAAATATTTATCATTCAATGTACGTGGTCGAGTATAATTCGTAATACAATAAATAAAAACAAGTATACATGTTATACAATCAACAAATGCAATAAGACGTAAATATTTAAATGTTAAATTTTTAAATGATGGATCAGAAAAAACAATTAAATTGATAACATTTAATATGAGCCCAATAAGACATAATGGTGACATAACATACAAATAAACTATATGTTCAATAAATTTATATTGTAATGATACATTGCAATTTTTTATTGTACTCGATATGGCTATTGTTGTAGCATTAGTAGTTCTTAAGGATAAATTATAATCAACAGGTAAAACTGTCGAGGATAATATTACATTATTATTCATTGATACTAAAAATTGATTGATATAAAAAATAACATATCTAGAAAGTATTTGTATTAGAATTGAAAATATTAGTTTATATGTTAGAAAACTAGATCAAATTAATATTATTTCAAAAATATTACTAAATTCTACAGAAAATAAAAATATCCATCGATAGATAGTTATATCGGTTTGTTTTACTCTGAACTCCTTTAACAGAAGTCTTATACACTGAATTCTAAATGAGAAAAAAAATTGAATATATGTCACATTGCAAAAATAATTAGAACTACTATGTAGTATGAAAGTTTTCTCATAGGTGAAAACGAAACTCTCCTAATAAACTAAATGTTGACAAATTTTCCAGTAGGACGATTTTCGTGTCTAATTCGAGATTGAAACTTACACAATAAACATAAGAATAGTTAAAAGTGAATAAAAATCAAATATATTTTCTAATAGAGTAGTTAGAAGTGTTATCTTTCTGCTGCGTTAAAAAAGTGTAATCTATTCAAATTTATCATAATTACAACAAATGCATAGAAGGATAGCTTGAAATAAGACTTTTGACTAACAATCTGATTTGTTTTTAATTTTGGATATCGTTTTATCTAGAACTTACCGATGATTTTCAACATTTTCTACTTTGAAAAAACCTAATCTTTTCTATTTTTGTCTTATTTTGCATCCGGAAATATCTCGAAAGAGCATCAATCTACCCATTATTTTCTTGTCTGAGAAGAACATGTAAATTTGCGATACCAATTTGATGAATCAAATTTTCCTATGATGATATAAAAACGCATTCATATAAGTAGGTGTCTAATTGTTGAGAGCTTTTTTTGTATTCATTGGACTTGCCATCGTTTTTTATTTGAATAAAAAAGGGAGACCTCTGAAAAACAAAACTCGATGGTATGTTGCAGTCTGATATATTCTTTCAAGCGTCAAAAGAAAATAAATATGCAGAATAAGGGTCACTAGAGAATTCACAGTTGTGGAACGATCGGCTTCTACCCATCGCTTGACAACTATTTTCCGGAAGCTCCAACGCATTCGACAGAAAAGTTTAGAAGCTACGATTCATTCAGCTGAATTCCAATAATACGATACAGCTTAAATTCACCGACTTAATGCTCACAAAATGTGTCATTGATAAAAAGAACATTACACATGCCCTCTTACCTAAAACGTTTTACCTTTTATATAAAATTTATCTTGCTTATACTACTAAACATAAGTAAAGAAACGAATTGGATAGTAGAACATTTTTCATTAATCATTATATCTTTTTCAAATAGAAAAAAATATCAATTAATTAGCGATCTACATAATCTTTCTAGAAAAGAGCCACTATCAATTTCGATTAATAATATTAAATCGAATATCTTCATCGAAGAAAAAGATCTAACGAAAATATTGACATGATAAAATCCATGATTTAGTTACTTAATCATAGCATTCAGAGTATCTCAGTACACTTGTATTACATAGACAATTGAAATTTGCCTACTTATTCATGTTCATTCACTAGAAAAGTATTTTAAAAAACAAAAAAATACTTTAAAAAATTAATTTTGTTTTATGCATGCAATAGAAAAACTAATTGTAAAAACAAAATAACACTGATTGCTTTTCTGTTTCTATTAAAAAAGAGAAAATGCTCTATATTTAATTTAAAATATGTCCACAACCATTGGTTTTTTAATATAAAAAATAACAGCTGATTACACAAAAAATTAAAATAATTGTATCTACAACTGAAATAGTCATAAACATCGGCTTTGATTTCACTTTCTGCATAGAAGAATTTAATACATGATATAATTATAAATTTTATTGTAAAAATTCTAATTTATAATAACGATATGTGTGGCACTCAAATTTTATAATTATTCAGCTCCGACAGTTTTATATATGAAAATAAAACGTAAACATCATATGAGATTATAGTCATAGTCAGTTTTTATCACGTAGTGAATATATTTATATATGGAAAAAAAAGTTTGCCATCGTGACATATGTCCTATCCAAAATAATTATTTTGTCTCTTATTTGTTTTTGATTTTTCATCTACTGACGATAGCTTCCAATTTATTGGAAATAATATGGCATTACCATTTACATATAAAATGCTTTTTGGATCTCATAAAAAGGTTATTTCGAACAGTTCAAGCCATATTCATTAAACTTATTGAATATTGATATTGCTAAGTCACGTCATATTCGCAGATAATTTAATTGAAAAATAACTCAAACGTCAAAATAAATATTTGATATTTTTTAGTGATTCCTGGGGTTAAAAAAGATGGCAGAAATCGATTGAAGTAAATTATTGCTTTTCTATCTGCTACAAAATAAAGGATGTTAATGTATAAGAGGCTGCTATCTATTGACATGAACCAAAAATTTTTAGTGACAAGTCTTCCAGCGATAGAATTTCCTGTTAAGATGTTTTAACTGAGATTTTATCGATATGCATAAAAAATATTGAATAAAAATGAAATGGATCGTTTAAAAAATAAGAGCGAAGCTATATCAATTTTCCTTTTCTATCTAAAGATTATATAATATATCAATAAATCTTATCTCATAATAATAATTTTCAAGTTTTCATGAGTTGTAAAAATCAAACATCACAGATTCAAATAAGATTACTTTCATTTGTTAGCCTCGTCAATATTTTACAGAAACATATTAAAAGTAAGATTTTGGATAAATTTAATGAATGCCTTCTCAAGCCGAATTCAACTCATTAGTATTTCGATGTAACTAATTATCTACAAAGTTTTCGTATATAGTCTTTTTTTTTGATAATTAATTATGTAAATCTAAAGAGTTTCATTCAATGTAATACACTGTTTGAAAAAAAGCTAATTTTCGATTCGTATGCCTGAAATATGAATAAAACATGTTTTCGTTGCTGTACAAAAAATAGAAAACACACTCAAATATAATTCAAATTCGAATCGATAATCAAAGACTAATTTTATCATTCATTTTTATTTTTGATCCCCGATATGAAATAAATCATATACATATATATATATATATACAACAAGCGGAGACTTACCGGATATAGAATTAAAAAATTTCAATTGAATATTTATGAGATTATAAAATATTATTCGTTTTTTCCACTAATCAAAACAGGAAGTTATTCAGTAACTCTTTACAGGCATAAAATGATTATATGCGTATACATATAAAGCGATATATATATATATATAGATGTTTTGCATCACAGCTGTTGCTTAATGAATAGTAACGATAAGGGGATAGTGATGGTGATGATGATACTTGTTTTCTTCATAACGAATAGATACATAAAAGCAAAAAGAGAGACAACAGCGAGAGAGAAACAAAGAGCGAAGAGTGTAGCGTTTTCTCTTTGCTGTCGTCGCACAGTAATATGATTATGAATGCGAAGGATTAACAAAATTAATTGTCTAAGTCGCCATCAACATCTCTGTCACAATGGCGGCTAGTGACTACACATCTTCACCCTTAGCAAAAGCATAAAATGATTCTAAGGAAAAGGGGAAAAGGCGAGCGGTCGTGTCTTTGTTCGGTCGCTCCCGAACAAAAGCCGTTGTTGTTTCTCATCTTCTCGGAGGCTGAAACAAACAAGAGTCTAGTACATTCTTCCAAATCATAGCTACGAGAGAACCTATTGAATAAAAACAAAAGAAATCAAATGGAGAGTACCAAACAGATGAAAACACGAATGTTGACTAATGATGAACGAGTTATAAACGAGAGGGGAACCAAAAGCATCAAAAAAACATTGATCTAGAAGAAATTATAAAAAAAAATTTCTTTTTAAAAAGCTTTCACTATTCATCGATGAATGAAATAATTTCTATATGTGATAACTTTCTTCAACATATTAACACGATATTCTATATTCAATCTTCGACAATTCAATCAAAACTAACACATAATTAGCATTGACAACTGTTTTTTCTCTCAATTATTCCTATTCAAATGGCACTATTTCTGTTTTTCAATCTCATTCAGCACATGCTTTATATACGTTGAAATCTATAACCAAAAAGACATAATCAATCAATTAATCTATCTACCTATCTATCTCCGTCTCCATCGTGGTTGTTATTAGCATTATTGTTATTATGTATTTCCTGATCAATCTTTTTATGTTGAAAAAGTCTCTTTCTCTTTTTCTTTTTTGATTTTGTTGTTGTTGGAAGTATTGTTCATTCGAGCATGTAAATAATCACTATGTTAATACATATACATACTATGACCCACTATCGAATGAAACATTAGTAATAGTAGTAGCAGTAACTTGAAAATTTCATCATCAATTGCGTGTATCGATCGATCCGATCCGATTCTCATGAGAATCCAGAGGCTGTGGTGGAAAAACAGCAAAAAAACAACTATAAAAAATTAAAGAATTCATTTTCAGGAATAAAATTACCAGTAGATGGACATTAGATCTAATACTATTTAGTTGAATACTCAATACAGCAAACTTGTTCTTCGTTTTATGCACAAAATACAACATTATTCTGTCCTTTGGCATACGTACATCTATTATTTACAGAGAATGACATCGCATCATTATCATTTGTATTGATCAATGTAAAAAGAAAAATTCTATACAATATTTACTTAACGTAGAAAACCGTTTAACTAATTATGAAAACTTGACTGAAAGTAACGGACAGTTCGTGATAGTTGGATGAAAAAAAAACAGGTAATATCACTGAATAAAATAGATAAAATATATTATCACATTCAGTGTTAAAAAGTGATGCTTGCCAGTAGATCATATCGAAAGAGAACTAATTTGTATTCAAATATGGCTACTTACTTCCTCCGACATATTTTTTTCTATTTCATTTTATTCATCATTATAGAATCACGTAGTCTCTATTCAACTGTGTGCCTAAGCGATCTACTTGCAGCAGAAGATGGCTAATTCTCAAGTATAGGACTCGGTTTTATTTTACATATATATATATATATATATATGTACATACATACATAGCATA